CAGCTCCTCACAGCCTTCTGACACAGAGGGGAATGAGCAATGTGACGGGAGGCGGCAGCCACTGGTCGGAAGGGGCCACCGGCTAGATTCTTATCCACTTACTGCTTTATTCCATTTTTAGTCCGGCTGTTACCCTTACAGAGAGTGGATCTCTGCACTCTGATCATGTCCAGATGATCATGAGCAAGACAGTGTCATGGTCTCGAAATAAAAACTGCCTTTATTTGGTTAATTGGATGCTCGTAGGTAGTAGTGCATTAAAAACAGAAACAAAATGATGAGTGACCTCTTGCTTATGACGAATCACCTGTAAACTATAATAAATATATAAATGTTTATATTGAAGTGTCTGATGTGTCACATGAAAAACAAATTACCATTCAGCACTGACACACACACACATACACACACACACACACACACACACACACACACACACACACACACACACACACACACACACACACACACACCATCCATGCAGGGGCAGCGATGTGGATAAGAATAGGAGCAGTGGCCCTGTGTTTCACTGGCCCTGGCAAACGTAGGCGCCCAGTAGAGGAGGGGTGTGTGTTCACAGGGCAAGACAAAGCAGTGGTTGTGCCTGGGGACCGTGGCCTCAGAGAGAGAGGCTCGGCACGGTGAAGGTTCTCACACACAGAGAGAGATAGAGAAAGAGAGACAGAGAGAGGGAGAGAGAATGAGAGTGGGAGAGTGGGGGAGCGGGTGAGAGAGAGAGGGAGAGAGAAAGAGAGAGAGAGAGAGCGAACACTTCCTGGAGGTTCATTCTTCCTCTCTGCAATCATCAATGGCATTCTCCCCCTGACCCACTCCTCTCTCAGACAAACAAAAGACCCCGCATTCCAGTGTAGCCTGACCGGCCAACCAGCCAGCCATCCAACCACAGTTGAACCACATCACTCTCCCCAACTGGACCGAAGTCTCATCATGGGGGTGGGCTTGAGCTGTGCTGTAGATATTTGTCTGAGGACACTTGCAATGCGTCCTGACGCATTACAAATCTTAATCATCTTCCACAAATGTAGATTGCTTTATCACAACAGATGAAAAACTAAATAAGCATCCCTCTGTTTTTGTCCTTGGAGAATGATGTACTTTTGTCTTTTACCCATCTAAAGGTGCAGTATTATGTTGTATTGTGCTTTACTCATATTACTGTTACTTTCTTCAGTTATTGTGCAGATTTGCACCATAGTCACACATTGGACTTTTGCACATTGAACTCTACAGTTTTTCTGATTAAAAAAGAAAAATAGTAGTTCAACATTTGGGGAAATACACTTATCTGCTTACTTGCCAAGAGTTAGATGAACAGAAAATATGTAGCTGGATCCAGCAGATGATTAGCTTAGCTTATCTTAGCAAATAAGACAGGAAACAGGGAAACAGCTAGCCTCGTGCCGTTCGATGGTGACAAAATCTTCCCAGCTCCTCTACAGCTCACTAATTAACACATTATTTATCATCTGTTTAGTCCATACAACAACCAAAGTGTAAAACATCAATGTATTCTCATGTGCAGGATTATTTCTTGGTCAGGAGCAGTGAGTCCCAGCTGCTCCCGGACAAGAAATAGTACAGTATACCTGCACGTAAAACCACAACTTGTCATTTTTGCGCTTTGGCTTTTGTACAGATCAAACAAACATGCTAATTAATGAGCTTTAGAGGTGCTGGTAGACAGACTTGAACAGAGCCAAGATAGCTGTTTCCCACCTTTATGCTGAGCTAAACTAACTGGCAGCTGGCTCCATCTACATCCTTTCCTTACAAAGAAGTGAATTCATTTAAGTTTTTCCGTCCATTAGAGTTTTTCCTTGTCTGAATCAAGGGTCCGGAGATGGAAGGTGTTGAACGTTGTGCAGGTTGTAAAGCCCTTTGTGGCAAATATGTGATGTTGTCTATAATGGACTTTGAAGTATTTCTTTCTACATATGGCACCCAGAACTGTGACCTTTCATTGCTCAAAGATACTCCTCCGTGAATCTCAATCTTGAATCTTTAGACCTGCATAACAGATGGTTAATTCATCCTGGAAAATAATGTGACAGTACAAGTAACATTGCACTGCAGTTGCTGGGAGACGCGGTATTGGTCGGACCCCCCACCACCTCCTCCCTATTATGGCCCTCCTGCCCTTCTGTGTCTAATTGTTGCTACTGCATGTTATCTATTCTCATTCAACAGCCTCAGCTCTGTTCTGTTTGTTACATTCTGGACAGACACTGCAGGAAAGACATTATTAACTCACTTTGACTCTTTGATCTTGTTACTTTTGCTTTGAACCTGCAAAACAAACAACAGGGTAGGCATTCCCATCACCAGACCAGAGACAGCTGAGGAGGAGGAAGAGGATGATGAGGAGGAGGAGGAGGAGGGGGGATACCCTCAGTCAGCTCTCTCTGTATATGACAGGAACAGCTTGGCAAGGCTGATGCATAGTAGCAGTGAGGAACACATTACAGTGTAAGTGACAAAGAAGGGAAATGACAACAGAGGGGGCTGAGAGACGGAGGGCAGAGGCCAGTAAGTTTTTCATCATGGAGGGAAGGCTGGCAGCTGTCCCTGCTCTCCTGTTCTCTGAACATTATTTATCAGGTATCCTGAAACTTTGTCTGACATTTTTGTATCATACGGATTTGCAGTTTCCTGCACAACACCTATAAAACTTTACACTGCTGAACTAGACTATGTCATGCTTACCAATAAAAGAAAGAAGAGATAAATATGATATTTTAAAATCACAAATCAGAGTATAACTAACAAGTTGATAGCAATATTTAAATAAATATATTCAAATATATTAAAGTGAGAGGTTTCCAAAAGCTGTGAAGGAACATTTTTTACTCTTTGACCAAGTCATTTGAAGGCGTCATTTGATACAGAGAATCTCTGACTCCTTTTAGGTCTGACTGACTGGCCTGTCTGTACCTGTCCTAAACTGGTTTAACTCCTACCTCTCTGGCAGGAAGTCTTTCTGGCTGCAGATGACTGTTAATCTCAAATAATCTGGTATAACAAGCAGGTTTATAATCTGATAAAACCTGATAGAAATCTTAGTGCTTTTACATTTCCCTTTTGCTATTTAATCAGGACACATTTCTTTAATACCTATATTAAGTCATTTCAAGTTGCTGCATTTCTTGTTGAAGCAACTGATACCATTTCAAATTAAGCAGGAGTGTTCATTCTTGATCCTGGAAATAATACATACCACCAAACTGGATCTGTTGAGAGTAGTTATAGAGAATATGGTTGAAAAAGTACATTTAGAAAGATTTAGCCATGGCCACAAAGTAATAAATCTAAAGGTTATGTTTATTCTGAAGTTCACTCATATCTTGCTTGGCTTTTACTGGAAATGTTAAAGGCCCTTTCTGCCTCACAGAAAAAAGAACACATTTTTTTAGCATCAGCAGACTTGACTACTGTCACGGTCTCCAATCAGGTGTCTCCAAAAATACGCCATAAATCATCGAGCACCAGAAACCTGTTGTCTTACAGAAATACAACAGCATCACATCCACACCTACACCACTTACAATGGTTACTTTTTTATTTTTCAAATTGATTTTAATATTATTTTACTACAGTATTCGGGGCTACATGTCTCAAAGCCAGTTCCTGTGGGGACATCAGTGGAAGTGCTTTCAAAGTATGAGACTAAAACCTTTGCTCCTTGCCAGCTCAACAGCCCCCTTATTTAAATTTGAGTTCAGAAACCATGCTTTAGCCTGGTGTTTGTCTGTTTCACTGTTTTTATTTTTGTTCTTTTCAATGTTTTATAATTTACTTTGACTTTTAATCTTTTATTTTTATCATTTCTGTGGACTCTTAAATAAAAAGTATCGAGCCAGTTGAATGTAAAAGTAAACACACAAAAACAGCTCTGAAGGCAGAGAACACAAAAGTAACATTATGCACTTTGCACTAGCATTCACCTAACTATATCCACTATATTCACATTTTTGCAGGTACATTTTTTTTTACCTTTTATGAACCCTTTTTTCTACATTGTTTTATGGTAGATATTATTTGTTTGTTAATTTAAATGTATTTTATTTTAGTATGTTTACAGGTGAAATATGATGCAGTTATAAAATTTTACACACTGCTATAGACTGACCTAATAAACAGCTTAGAAGTACATGTTAAGTACACATGATTTAAGACCTGGAAGGAGGTCACTTTCCTTTTGGTATTTCAGCACAGCCAATATTTTTGCTTCTTGGTGTATATTTTGCTTTAAATTACATTGATTAATCCATGATTAAATTACTTTTGATAATATTTAGCTGCAATATCATTTTAAAGGGTATTAAACAACTGTCTACAGCCTACAGCTGAAATGATTTGTCATTTTATTGATCAGCTGATTGATAGAAAGTTCGTTTTGATGATTATGAACATTCACAGGTTCCAACTGCTCAAATGTGGATATTTGCTGGTTTCCATTGTCGTCTGCGATAGTAAACTGAGTATTTAGGGGTTTTGGACAAAACAAGCAATATCATTATGTAAATTTAAGCACTGGGAACATTTTTCACCATTTTCTGACATTTTGTGGACAACAATTAATGAGAAAAATAATCTGCAGAATAATGAAAATAATCACTAACTGCAGCATTACTAAGGCTACGGGTACCAAAAAGACATCACTAACTACCAGTTGTAACAAAAAAAATCAATTTTGTAGTTTACCACGTGATTGTTTCAGGAAGTAAAAACAGTGATATGTAGCCTGCTGCGGCCTCTGTGGGTCTCTGGACCACATTTTGGTTACCACCGGCACAGATAAAACAGTGCTGAGTTCAACGAGGCCATGCAGAATAAGCACGTATAGAAACGCTGCAGGATTTTTTCAATGGGACGTCTGACAGTCTACTACTCCTCCTATGAGTGCTACTCATAAAACTGGTCGGCGCTAGGACCCGGGAGAGCAGGCTGCCACAGAGGCATTGCAGACTGCGCGTTTGGGAGGTGTAGTGGAAGAAAGGCAAGAGAAACGGAGTAAATGAGAGCACTTTTGTCCAGATTGTTGAAGGACTTATCAACTTAATATACCGCCGAAACATCTCCCTATAATGAGACGGACACATTGTTGAATTCCTGTCCAGGTAAATGTCCGCGTTTCCTTCGCATGGTTAACTACAAGAGGTCGACAGCTAGACAGGGTAGGTCCCCATTGTACTTACATGGGATGCGGTTATTCTCACCCAAGCTGCCCTGCTAGGCCCCATATCCTTTCTATCGCTAAATGCAAACCTGAAATGAGGTACTTTCCTGACTTCACTTCGCTGTACAAGTTGTTTTTAGCACTAAAGTCAAGGACTTATAAGCGTCCTGTGGTGAATTATAACGCGTTGTTGTTTTTCCACAAACAACACTGCGTCTCTCTGTAGATGTTAACCATTCATTTTTGACAATGACCACTTTTGAGACACAGCCCTCAGGCCAAAATATCTGCAGTCATGTTACTTTGAACGGCTCATCTCTACGAGAAAGTTGTTTTTGCTCGTACTTTACGGCCCAGGAGGTAAATGAAAACAAATGAGCTCAACAAGAGAGCAGTTCATTCATTGTTATGGAGTACCACTGCGTTTGTTTACTGGTTTGACTGAGGAATTAATCACCAGACAATCATTTTACGTTTAGTCACCAGCTTTGCTAGCCTGTTGCTGCTCTCCTGTAACACTGTGGCATCCACGTATAGTGATATATAAAGTAGTACATCTTTGTTGTGACTTGTTGTCCGCCTGTATTGGCTCTCAAAATGGGGTCCCAGTAGACCTTCTGATCCACAGTTCGAGCAGCAGGGAGGTCATTAGAAGAAAAAAAAAAGTCATTTTAGTGTTATTGTCTAATTTTCCTCTCTAGTAATCAGCACAATGAGATAATGCATGTGAGTTACTGTTTTTGTGATAGGTTTCACTCTCCTCACTGTTATCATCCCACCTACTGTGATGACAGTTGTGCATGTGTTTACTAAATCATGTTAACTACAGGGCTTCTTGTCAAGTTGGTTTGTTGTTGTAGGCATCTTATCAAATGGGTGTCTACGATGTAAAGTGATGGGAGTCCACATGAAAAAGTTTGTGAGCTTCACAGGTTTCATGGAGATGCAAGATATAAAGGATTTAACGTCCACCTTGAGATAAACCTCATATTACTCATGTTATTGTCTGTTTGTCTCCATCTCCCAGAGGTCACATATGCATGTACAGTATGGAAAGAGAACATTGTCCCCGGGCATGTTGTACCCGTTACGCCTTTAGTATCAAAATGTTTTCATCGGTCATGAGACCACGTCTGTCCAGTGTGTGTACGCAGGGGGACTTGGCATGTGACCCAGGGAAGACGTAACAAGCTGGTGTAATGATGCAGCCAGTGACTGCTTGGCTGTCCCTGTTCTATTTAGAAAATACCAGTCACCTCCCACCCAATCCCCTCGCAGCCCCGTTGACGCAAATGTGCCACCAGTTGCATGCAGAATCTGAGGAATGTTGTTTGAAATTTTGTCCTGGTACACAGGCAGACTCATGGCCTCTGCCTGTGCTACAGGAGTTTTAGATGTATTGTCCCTGAAAAGCATACGCATCCGATGATGGCAGCCCACCGTCAGCATCACGTTATGGCCCTGCGCTCGGTCTGTGTCACAAAACTGAGAATACTCTTTGTTTCATTCATCTTGTTTACTAGTTGCTCATGTTAACGGCCAAGTGATTTAATTTTGCAACAAACTAAAAATACCAGGGCTTGAAAGTCTTGTTCTGTGTGTTTTATAAAGGACAGAATGAGTTTGTTACGGCTGGTATACATTTGAATAAGTCCAGCTTTGTGATACATCTTTAATTTAGTTCCTGGCTTGTCTGAACAGCATGAAAACGAATACATTAACATGAGTCATAGAGGGGTTGCTGTTCATGTCATCATGGGATTAAAGCAGCAAGCCTCCTTGGCTTTCAAGGTTATACTAGCTGTGGTGTGGAATTCAGCTACACTTACTTACAATATTCTTATCATTAGTGATGTGTTTTCAGGGAACTTGAAAGAGGAACTTGGCACTGTGTAGTAGATCACACTAGTGCTGGTTCCATTGTCTCATTAGAACACAAACCAAGTGTCACTTCTGGGATTGTTTTCCAGCAACAGGTGAGCATGTTTGATGTTCTCATTTCTGTGAGTCGTGTTAAATATTTGAGTGTAATGTTCTCCCTGTGTAACCCTAAGCCAGATGCTGACATAGTTGTTTACCCGAGCGCCAGCAGAAAATAGAGCAAAAACGGTCTTGTATCTATCGATCTGTGATGAAGGAAGTAGTGTGGTGATGTCGGCCTGATTTTCTGCTTCCTGCCATAAACACATGGGACTGTCCTCTCTGGCCCAGTGACAGGCTCAGTGTGTGGCATCTTTGCTGCACGACACTGATTTGCATTGAATGGGGTGGCCCCCGGAGCTGGAGCCAGAAAGATGAATGATTGAAAGCCGCACTGACAGCAGGGCAGGCAGGCGGGCAGGCAGGCGGGCAGGCAGGCAGGCAGGCAGGCAGGCAGGCGGTGGCCCAGAGTCCTGAGGACCATGTGACCCGCTGTCAGGGTACTGGGTTCATTCAGTGGCTGCTGGCTGCAGCGCTGGCAGCAGCCCAGCTTTTCCACACAGGCCGCAGTAGCAACAGGTCGCTCCCATTAAAACAGCAGCGCTCTGTTGTGGCTCCAGAGCCGGTCTTGTGCATGTGTTGCTTTTTTGGCTGTGGTGTGTGCGCTCCAGTTTGTTTGTGTGATGTATCCCAATGTGTATATAATGTGTGCGTGCCTGTGTCACAGAGTACACACTAAGATGCCAAAGGGATCCAACGGTTTGTGTGATCCCTAGTTTGAATTGCACTCAGTGTGCTTTTTCAAATCCCTCTCCCAAGATCCTTCCAACATCGACTGTGTGACACAAGCACCACAACCCCAGTGCAATAAACAAAAACACTGAGCGAAAATAAACCCTGCTTTCATAAACTCACTTTTGCTCATTGAATGGAAGTGAGCAGAATGGAAGTAAAAGGCGTGTTGATCGCACATTCACCGACAGATGTACTCGAGCCTGGGGCTGTACTGATATGACTCGTAGTCTGTCAATAGTCACATCCACTTCCTGTTGTTGTCCCCACCAGTAAGCTGGATGGGGCCACTCAAACAGAGCTCTCTTTTGATGGCTTTACTCTGACGGAGCAGCAGCAGGCAAATTGATTTCAGTCGATGGTCAGAGATTGCCTGGTGCAGTATGTGACATTTGTGTGAATAAGCATGGCAATTGATCATTCTCCTGTGTCTGCCCTGCACTCAAAGCTGTATTTATATCATAAAAAAGTACTGAATGAATCAAAAGGTCAAGTGTTTGGTTTATGATAGCCTGCAGTTTTTTTTAGTATGTGCCAGTGATGATGGAATTCAGCCCTGTTTGGTTTATCAGATGAGTGTCAGCGCAGCTTTATCTGTTCTTATATCATACATTTTGAGTTGAGTTTGAACAGGTAAGACCGTTGCTGTAGTTTGATCCTTTACCCACATTTAGTAATCACGCTGCACTTTACTCATACACCTCTCCGAGGACCCTCTCACACATTTACTTTATCTGAATGTGGCAGCAGTTTGCTTCCACCACATGTCGGGTGTGAATAAAAACAGCAACACTCACACAGATGCAGCACGCAAAGGAACAGTAAACAATGTGCCTTCTCTTCACAACATTTTGTGACAGAAAGATCTCACCTTGAGGCCCATTTTAGTTGCTGTTCTGGAGCTTTTAATCATATCACATGATCTTCATCAGCAGATGGCAGTTTGCCTTGTTGTCATGGAAATGTAGAAAAAAAAAACATCACATTTTTTCAGAAGCCAGTGAATATCTTGATCAGGTGGTCTAAAGTCAACATGATCATTTTATAGTTAACACAACATTTTCATATTAAAGTCCATTTAGTAGCTCATCTGGAGGTTTTGATCATATCATATGATCTTCATCACAGGCTTTATCATGATATGATATTTGAATCTCAGATGTATTTATCTATAATAATGACATCCATATGAAAGGGCTTTCTTATGTGTAAGGAAAATTCAATTTTTTGCTTAGGCCTCAGACAGCAATGTAATAATCTAAAATAAATTTCATTATGTATTGATTCTTATATACAGAGAAATTAAATTCATGAAATAGATGATTTTGGTGATCAAATAATATAAATAAGTTCATTTGAAGTAGGAGGCAGTAATGTAAAACAATAGTTATAGAAAGGATGTCCAGGTCTTTCACACTGTTTTTTTCCCCTCAATACATGTTGATGAGATTTTATAAATCAAGATTATTGATTATTTATTTTAAAAAAAAGAGTAATTTGGCCTGGCAGTGGAAAACTCAAGTTATGCTCTGTTCTGATCAGAGCGATTGGAAAATAATTTTGTTTTCAGGCCCTTGAAGTCCAACATCCAGTCTCGTTCGAGTTTTAGCCAAAACAAAAATCTGCAAGTGGGATAAAGAACCCTGCTGTCCCTCTCAGAAACTCGTATACCTACCACAGTACAAACAGAAACATCACACTCAGTAAACCTGTATAAATCCCTTCAATTTTGAAATTTCTTGCCACCTATTTACAGGATAAATCCAGGAAAAAGAATTTAGATATGGGAGCATTTGTGATTTTAAATAGGACCTGGCTTTGGCTAAACAATAAGTTTCAAAATCCATCATTTAGGCATCCAGTATGAGAATTATTTAATGACATAGTTTTCTAACTCACTGCTGTTCTAGTCATGAGTAGAAAAAAAACGAAAAAAAAACGCCCAGTCTATCAGGAATGGTTGTGTTGTGGTTGTGTGCGAACAGCATGGAATTTTCCAATACGAGAGACTTCATTGTAAATGCCAAAAACCACGGCCTTACACAGATATTTGAACCTTGACGTGGTGCAGGTTCCACATGTGAATGGGACTGCACTGTGGTTTTAGCATATACTCCACTAACTGGGCCATAAATCACAAGGACCTTCTCGATTCCGCTGCCTCTCCTCTACTATGTTGACCCGAGGGTTAATATTCAGACAAGTGGAGAAACTCTTTCACCTCAATACGGGGCTAATTTTTACTCTTCTTCAACTAATAGGTAACCACCATTGAGAAGGCGGCTGTAAACCCCAGGACCCCGTCTCCAGGCTCCTGTACAGGGCTGCGTGAAGGAAACTTCGGAAACAAAGCTGTGTCTCTTCCTGTGGGAAACCTGGATCCTCCACCCTGCCCACCAACATGACCAATGTGGTGATCGTCAAGGAGGGATGGCTGCATAAAAGAGGTAAATAAATAGATGCTTTTGCTATATAATTTGATTATATAATATCTGTTGTAAAGAGTTTTTTGCACTTGAAACTTTGCTTTGAAACCAGGCTGAAATAAGATAATTACTGTATGCACCTCTTTATTCACAGAATGTGCTCTGGTTTCTTTTATGTATTGCTGACAATTCAATCAAGATGTAGTACAGTCATCATCACCCCATGCACTAGAAACCCAAACTGTGCAAACCTGTGGACTAACCAAGCTTGCACACAACACTAAATATGCAAAGACCCTAAAACAAGTTCATTATGTAAATATTTCAAAATCTCTTCTCGATATTTGTATGAGAAATGTATTTGAATTGCAAACCCACTGTGATTGGTGCATGCACAGCAGTTTTCATCTACTGTATTTTGGGTATTAGTTGGAGTACAGTATAGTGATTAAAATTTTTAGACTAATTGTTCAGATATTTCACAAATCCTCATGACCTTCATTCCTGAAGTACTTGGATTAGCGAAAGTTTACTGTAGTTCGCTAGAGACAGATTTGTTTTCTAAAAACTGAAGAAACTCGATGACATACAGTATGTCCAAGTTGATTGATCACTGGGTAAACCTATTTAAACAGGCACTATGCCAGATCTAATGTAGAGAGCCATCTAGTCGCAGAGTCCCCAGTGGGCCCCATTTAGCTGTTCTGACAGTGCTGTGTGGCGTGGCGTGGCTCTGTATCGGGCGTGAGTCCTGTTGTTTGGACGAAGAGGCATTCCTCACATACCTGCTGGCTTTGAGCAGCTTTATGTGTGCATACTAACTCTGCCTTCAAACTGCGCCTGCCTCACGGAGCCCACTCCACCGCCGTCTCCTCCACCACCAGCACCGGGGGCAAAATAGGATAAGGAACTCCTCCAAAACCACTGAAGGCTCCGGGGCCCAATGCCAGAGAACCAGGCTTTTACTGGAAGAGGGGAAACCAAGATTCTGACTCGGGGGGGATAAGGTGATGGGAGCAGGTCACTCGGAGAGTTCCTCGGACTCTAGGAGGAGCTGAGTGCTGCTGTGGTGTGTTAGCCCTCACTCCCCCCTCCTCGAGGCCTGGGCTCAGAGCATAACAGGCTGCTGTTTTAGGAAAGGGTCAGCCTGGTTCGGCTCACTTGGTGCTAGCAGACACACCCTGGCCGTTCCAGTGAGTGTAAGGATAAAACATTGGTTGCTGTTTGTGTCTTATCAGAAAAAATTGTTAGTGTTTCCATTAGGATTTTTTTTTTTTTACAGCAGGGGCATCAAACTGACAACAGCCAAGTTAAATTTAGGCCTGTTAACAAGTTATTGACAGAATTAGCATTATTTAGTGACAACTGACACGATGTACCACCAGCGAAATTTATCATTTTAACCATTAAAATCGACACTCGGCACTGAGTAAGATTAGATTATTAGCCAACTTGTGTATCTTTCCAACCCGAGGGTACGAAACTCGGTCTGTTGCTTCTGCACCCAATAAATATTCCACTGCATATGCCAGTTTTTGCTGACATATGCAGTGGGATCGTATGGAAAGCCGACTGAACCAAGCTTTGAGCTCCGCCAGCGGTCCACAGCAGGACTGCGCCTCTGCAAAGTCGTGTAATTGCGGCTTCATAAGATTCTGAAGAAACGGTGGCAACAGTTTTAAATTGTAACTATATAGCAGAAACACTGCGTTCTATTTAGTATGGACCAATGATGCAAAGTTAAAAAAGTAACTAACAAAAATTAAATATAGCTATTAAGAGCTTTATCTAATCCACAATCCTGAGTTTCTGAGAAGCATCTACATCTACCTAGAAAGCAAAATTCATACCATGAATTAGATCTGTGTTGCGCACCAGAGGCTTCAGAGGCAAACTGTGTTACCGTGTCTATTTAGGGAAAAAGCTAGAATAGGTACATCCTTTCTTTGGAAGGGAACATGTAAAATTACATTTGTTTGGCACGACATTTAAAGGTCATTCGTTCTGAGTGTGTAAATGTGTGTACTCACAATGATTCTGGTGCTTGTTTTTATTACCTGTCCCACAAAACTGGCATATGTCCATTTTCCACACCTTCAGCAGAGCTGATAAGAGTGGAAGACGTTGATTGAAGGCCCGTGTAAAATATAACTATAAGAGTAGTCAAATAGTGACTGTTAGAAAAACAGTCAGGTTGTGTGGCAATACATGTGCATATACATACACACACACACACACACACACACACACACACACACACACACACACACACACACACACACACCCACACACACACGCACAGTGCTAGCAGTGACACCCTTCTAGCTGTGACACACACACATACACACACTAAACAAACAACCCTTCAGGAATAGTGAGTTGGCATGCTGTCGCAGCCCAGCAGCTGTGCCCTGTGAAATGTCACCCAGAGCCGCCGTGTTTTGATTGGAGGGCGTCCGCCTGCCTCCTTGACAGGAAGGCTTTTAGTGTCGCGTCACTGTCATGCAGTCTTTGCCCCAGAGTCACTGCACAGAAGGTGAACCTGCAGTAGCCCTGTCTCAGTGTCCATCACTTCAGCCAGGCAGCCCCCACTCAACCACTATCATCCCATGATGCACCTTGTGTGTGTGTGTGTGTGTGTGTGTGTGTGTGTGTGTGTGGTGGCGCCACCCAAGTGACTCACATCACCATGTGGGCGTAATAATAAATGGCTTATACCGCTTCCAAGTGTGTTCAGCATGCTCATTACTCCCATGTGTGCACTCAAAACACTAATTTAATGTTGTACAAAGGATAGCCCTCCATATTTCCATCAACATTGTGTGTGTGTTCCTTGGACATGGTCTAACACCAAACCATGACTTAACAAAAACAGGTACAGCTCAAGTGTTGCCTCGTCTTCTAGTAACGCTCAGTTTCATTGTTAGCGAGTGGCAGAGCGCTGCAGCTCTGGTGCCCCAGCTGAACACGTCCACGCCACTCACACTCTCTCTTTGATTCCTGTCTGATTAATCATGTTCAGCATGCACGTATAAACTCTGCGGAGATTCCTGTAAGAACCCGGAGCGAGCATTGTGCCTCAGTACCCTGTAGAGCTAATCTGTCATTAGAGCTGCAGATTCTTGGCCTCGGACTGCTCTGTACATTTGTTCCAGACAGACTGCACTCAGTGAAATGATCTCATTCTGAAGGACACACCTTGATACTTTCTCCTTAATCCTTGTGCTGCAGTAATGTGTCTGGCCTGTGGATGTGTTGTTGTGACTGTTATCTTGGTTATCTGTTTTGGAAGGACAGTTTTGGAATGCAAGACGAAGCGGCTGAGCAGGACGTGTGGTGTATGTGTACGTCTGGACATGCATATGCAAATGTGTGAGTGTATGGACAGTGTGAAGCATATTTAATCAGAAGTTACGCTGCCAGCAGGACATTACCCAGTGCCCTTATGCGCAGACGGCATCACAGTGCAGCCTTGCAAAACACTGTAACTTTGTTGTTACTATCATAACCAGTTGTTATATGTCCTCAAATGATACTTCCCTTTTAGATCCTTCAGAGTGCACCCACACACTTTGAATGTGCCTACGGCCTCTAGTGGCCACAGAGACCGAGTAGCATGTTATTTCTTTTTGCAAGTGTGTTTTTCCAAAGTTTCCATCAAAGCCAGAGCATCATCAGACATCAAAGAGGCAGATTGTGGGTTCCCTAGTTTCCAGGGAAGCGCTGCGGCCAAGAACCCAGTGAAGCTCAACAGAACAGCGCTCGCTTGTCCTCCCCTCTTCCCTGGCCCTTGTTTGTTTGACTCATTTGCTCCCTGACAAGTATAAAGAGCCGGCCCCCTCGTTAGGCTAACGAAGGCCGCAACAACTGTTGGATTTGGGTAGCACGCTCAGCTGGCTCCGGCTCATGAGAGGAGGCATGGGGTGAGGGAGAGGGAGGGAAAGCAGAGAACACACCAGTAGAGATAGCGAGGGAAAGATGAAGGGACAGACAGACAGAGAGAGAGAGAGAGACAGAAGTTGAGCTGTGTCTTTGTGATGTTCCCAGAACATTGCTCAGTGACCCAGTCGGCCTCAGCAGAGTGGATGGATGCTGTGTGCGACGTGCCACACAGACCCTCTCGTGGTTTGGTTTGGAGCGCATGAGCTGATTTGCTCCTTCGCTGGTCATGTGGCTGAAGGACACCCGTGAGCTGCTCCTCCAAGCGAGACCTTGTTGGTGGTCCAGGAGAGTGCATGAGACACAGAGTGGGAATGAGAGGGGAGGGGTGGGGGGCATGCGTGGGTGCTGTGAAACACCAGGCACAGTAGTCGGCGTAGATGAAACTTCTTTTGTTTTTTTCATCTTTTTGAATATCTGTGCCTCGTGCATCTGGTGAACAGGCCTCCAACAACTCAGCCAACGTTTTCCACGTTTGCATTAGTTTTCTCTGTAAGGGCTCAGTAAGGGAATGTGCTGTTTCCTGCTCTTCAAAGGAGCAGACCCACCTGATTAAAAGTGTCTCATGATGCTGCAATGCTGACTGTCTCAGGACTTCAGGACTTTGACTTGCTGCCAGCTCTGCTGCTGGGCTCGCCCAGGCTCCTACACATCCCTTCATTATGGCTGTCATGGGCCACACACTGCTGCAATACACACACACACACACACACACACACACACACAGACACACACAGACACACACACGTATCACATACTGCAGAACTGGAGCAATAGCTCATCCCATTTGCCGATATTTTCAGCTGCATTGTCAGACATTTAACAAATAAGTCTCAAGTGCACATAAAATGACTAAATCTTTTTACATGAACCCCAAAATGTTTTTTCTTTTTTTTTTTCTTTAAATTTGTGGATAATATGTTACAGTGATTAGAAACAAAGTTATGCAGTACTTTAGTAGTTATTTAAGTTACTTAGTACTATTTTAGCACTATAGAACTTTTGTTGTTTAAGTCAAAGTAAAAGAAAGATTTTTGGCAATTTCTGAAACTAAATAACTTATGTCCAAGTAATCAAAAATA